CATCAAAACAAAGACAGAAATACAATTTCAGAATAATTCATATCAATCTTTAAATAATTTAATTTAGGAAATAACGTTCAGTCCTAAAATGGGTTTCCGACCCTTCCAAAGTCTCTTTCTTTCTTTTCTAGTATCTTGGGTTTTTTAAGAGAGTGTAATGGCACGATGCTTGTGTTGGCACGTGATTTAACCGTTATGCATGACGAGCGTGGTTTTGGATTTGCATGGGAAGGCCACGTGAGCCGCCGTTAAATATGGAAGGACGAAGGAAGACAGAATTTCCTCCTTCACGGCCTGAGAAAGTTGACGTCAAGTGTGACAGAGTCAAGTGGGACGTTAACCGCCACCGGAAAGAAGCAGAAGACTCGGTCCACACTCACATGCCCACCACTCTTTTAACATTGTTCGTCGCTTATATATGTACACTTGCTTGCTTCTTTAATCTTCTCCATTGTCCTATATATGGCTAAAAAAACTGAAAATCAAATGACCAATAATTAAAAGGGGAATTAGCAACAATGACTAAAAAAAATTACAAACAAAAATTACATTTCTTCTTTAACGTAACTAAACGGAACAAAAAAGAAAATATGAGGTGATCGATATACATAGTTCTTTAATATGTCTTTTTTTGAAAAAATAGTTCTTTAATATTTGTTCATGTTTAACAAACAAAAAATGCTCAGGGTACAGTAAGAGCATCGCCAACCTCACTCCATTTCTCATTTTAAAATAGAGTTTGGAGTCAAATTTGCTCCAACTCACTTCAACTCCATCTCTAAAATGGTGTAAAAAGTAGGTCAATTTACCCCAAATATGGAGTAATCCTATTTATCACTCTATTTTTTTGTTCTTCACCCCATTTTTTACTCCAAAATAAATTAGAGTTAGAATAAAACACAACTCCGTTTTAAAATTACTCCATTTTAGAGTAAAAATAGAATTTTGGGTTGGAGATGGTCTAAGCTAGACTAATATTAACACTTTTTCCAAAAACAATATGCGGTGTAAAATTATTAATAAATGTATTTTTGTGCGCTTTTAAATATAAAAATGCAATATCACGCCTATAAAATAGCACATCGAATATATATCATATTATACGTTTAGAAACAGTTGAAAAACATGTTTTTTGTATAAACAACATGCAAAATCAATTTCACTTACTTGTGA